TTGCAGGGGGGCGACTCTTGACGAGTAAAGTGTGCCCATTTAACGTTCGCTCTGACAACTCTTTACTCAGTTTTTAGGAAGTCCTATTTAAGAGTAAGTGCGACGACGACACACTCTAAAAACTTCGAGAGGCTAGAGTAGTGCAGCGAGGCCCCATAGCAAACTCCCTGAGTAATCATCATTGAACTGATCGGCCCCATGTAATTCAGAATGAATTTATTATGCTCATCTGACATAAGTTCAGGCTCTTGTATAGGATGGCCACTAGGCATATGACAGGCATGCCCGCACATGATCATTTTATCATCCTGATGTATTGCCTAACCGGTCCCCTATGAGACACCCTCCCACCCGTACTCATCATTACTATCCCCCACGCATCCCTACTCCCAGGGTCCTACCTGAGTATACCTAGGATCATCAACTATTCTAGTGATCTTTGATCGGACAGTGGTTATCGGCATCAGGGCTAAGCAGGTTCTCATCAGGGTTTTCTCACCTCCCTCCCCAGCCCTGACCGTACCTAGCACTTACGACATACTCACACGTGGACCAAAAGTCTCCAAATTTTGAGGCATTTGGGTAGGCCTATTTTGGACTTTTGGTCTCGTGTGGTCATACGGGCAGGCCTATTTTGGACTTTTGGTCTCGTGTGGTCATACGGGCGGACATCATCCAGAAAGGACGAAGTCGCGGCCCTGACACTTCGCCCTCTGGGCAAGTGTGTATAGTCAACGGTGAGGAGTAAAAAAGTAAGTGGAGTTTTCTTTGTTTTTTCACACTAAAATAAGGTAAGAAAGTAGATGGATTTTTTTTTTTCTTCTTTAACAACGTATATGTACACTCCAAATGTCAAAAATGAGACTGAATCCACCGCTAGAACATGGATAGATACATTGCCATTTTTTTTGTCTTTCTTTTGGCAGACTGTTTTCTTTGGCGATGACTTTCTGCAAAAAAGTAAAATAATATTTTTTTTTTTCGAAAGGTCATTTGAGACCATCTGTTACATGCTGCGCCGACAACAGGTTGCACGGGCCACTTTCAGGCATGTGACATTTTCAGGCCAAAAGCTGAAAAACAAGGGCCTACAAGCCCCGTGTCGTTTCAACCTCAAAGCGTGAAAACAAGGGCCTACAGCCCCTGTGTCGTCTCAGGCTAAATCAGGGCCTCTCCTACCATGAGTGTTTTCAGACTGAAACTGAGGGTCATTTTCGGGCCCTCATCAGTTCGACCCGCCCTGAAACTCGGGCAATAAACCAAGGTTTTAACACATACCATTTCGGGTTTATTTTCAAGACAACCCTTGGTTGAGCTTCGACGCCAGGGTCTGGCACATTTCGACATTGGCAAGAGCAGCCTCCTGGATGGGCCAGCAACTGTATAGGACTGGCCCGCCCTGCAGGCCGGCAGGTAGTTCCTAGGTACTTCCCAGGCACGTCACGTGCAGTTCAAGAAACAGGAGGTAGTCTTTAAGATTCGGCAGTTGAACTCTGGCGGAGCGTTGCAAGAGTAGTAGTAGTGCTAGCAGTAGTCTTCAAGGCTGGGCGCTAGTTGCGTTAGCAGTAGTCTTCAACGCTGGGCGCTTGTAGCGTTAGCAGTAGTCTTCAGCACTGGGCACCATAGGAGCTAGAGTAGTACTAGAGAGAGAGAGATTGGGCGGCGGCCAGGAGGACTTACCTGCAGCACCATCGCCCTAGCTTCGTCTTCGAGGTACCTGCAACACAGCGCCATCTTCACAGGTTAGTACCTGGAATATGAGAAAGAGAGAGAGAGTTCTTCTTCTTCCTCTTCTCAGTCCACCATCTCCCTCTCACCCTCTTACTATCCGACTTCACTGCATCAGCAAACTATGAGAGAGAAAGAGAGAGCTTGGTGACATTTGGATCCAGACTCGACATTGGACTTCAAACAGTTGACGAGGGGTTATCTGGGACTTGTAACGAAGACTTGGTGTATACAACATGCCCATCTTCCCCCCTCCTTCTTCGTCTGTTTCCCTCCTCTTTCGTCTGTGCATAATCTGGACCTGGCGCCTTTTTCCTGTGTATAGTGCCAAGCTCCTTTCACACCTTGTGATGAGAATGATGTATGTTTGGTCTGCGTTGCAACATTGATTGGGCTAGTCATTGATATTCTAGCATTCTGCTACGTTATCTTGTACTACGTGATAGAGGTCAGTCTCGGTCAGGTCAGGACTTGTATCTAAGTTTTCCCTGCGCTACAAAGCACCATTGTTGTATGTATCCGAATGTACCCTGCTTGTCGAGATTCTACTTGCACTGCATTGTCCATTCAGTCCTTTTATCACATTGTGGATCCTCGGTTATTTATTTACATCGCCCAACTGGGCATGTAACACCACCTCTGGAGGTGGTCTAAAAAATGGTCCTCTCGCGGCCTCGCAGGCCGCTTACAAAAGGGTCACCGTTTGAGGCATTTGGGTAGCAGGCCTCTCCAGTGTGACCCGAAACTGACTCAAATTTTGGTCCTTGCGTGAGTATGCCCTTAGGGCCTCATTCGACATCACTACAAATGTAAGGATCCTTACAAAATCATCGTTCCACCACTCCCTAATGACAACAAAATCAAACCGTAAGCCTGTTTTCACATTCTCGGCTGTTAGGGTCCACCCTTACAAAATGAGGGCGCCCCAGGCAAAAGGACGAAAATCAGGGAGAGGTTATAGGACTTCGGATATAGAGGTTGCACCCCACGGACTTGTCCGGAGCCTGGCATAGTTCCCTTACAGACTAACGACCTCAAAAGCTCAGTGGGTAGAACTCTGATATACTAACTTGGAGGTCCTGAGTTCGACTCCGACTATGCTCATTCATCATATCAGCTAAGGGATGATCCTCTACATGGTTTTCGGGTGGGGGCATGCCTTTCCTGCGGGAAAGTTGATGTGGGATGGATGCTACTCTCTTGGGCAGGTGAGTAGTAAGGGGTTGGTTGGGTGCATGGTGATACCGTGGCAGTGCTATGGTGGGGAGGGTTGCCTTGTAGGGAAACCAATGTCGAATCAAGAGGTGTGTCCTACTCTCAATGTCTGTGGACCCATTTCGTGGTGGTGCGTTATCAGAGGTAGGTTGGGGGTAGTTGTTAGACGACGGTCGAGGTCTCCACCATTACCACGGGTTGATTATCCCTAGCGAACAGACATAAGCAAGGCTCATCAGTAGCAGAAAGCAACCACACACATCCACATAGACTATGATATCACATTAGCTCACATAACAACCAGCATACTCAACAACTAAAAAAAAAAAACAGTAGACATATATGATCCGAGCTGTGCTAGGTTAGTGCTTAGAGGGGCTCATAGGTTAAGACCTTGGTTAGTTGACCATTAGACACTGCCTATGAGCGCTCTCACTACTTACGGGACTAGCTGACAACTATGTGCCTAGCTCCCGAGGTTCCCGTATAACAAGGCTTGTACGCTAGTGCCTCAACTGGGGCTGAATGGGGGAGCTCATTCAGCGTCGGTGCCCGCGTCCGCTGTCTGGTCAGGTTGCTCCAGTAGAGAGTGATGTTCCTCGCATGAGGTAAGATAGAAATGGAGTGGGGGTGCGCCAGGAGATATATATCGAGAGGAGTGGTGGGATGGGAGTCTCGTGAGTAATAAAAAAAAAAAAAAGAAGAAAAAAAAAAAAGGACTTCCCATATAGAGGAGTGAGGAAGCTAGAGATAGACGGTAGAGGGGGCAGGAGAGATAAGTGCTTGAGTTGTTGGTCCTTTTAGATTGTGTGCTTTTGCAGGCCTTGAGGGCGTTTTTTGTTTATTCTCCCCCTCTGAAGCTTGGAAGCTAAGCTGGCTGATGCTGTCAGTAATTGTTCTCCGGGTTGAATTGTGAGGTCCCCTGCCTCCTATTGAAACTGTTTTTTTTTTTAAACAAGATTTCAGTTTGTAAAAAAAAAAACAAAAAAAAAAACGACGAAAATCTCTAGGGAGCCCCCGGAGGTGACTAGAAATGGTGGGACCCTACGGATTGCCCGACAGGTTGAGGTCCTGACACCCGGCCCTCCTCACCTGAGATGTAATGGTGGGTAAGTGTACGGTCTTCCTTACGGGCTGTGGAAAGAAAAAACGAGTTAGGGCTCCCTTACAATGTAAGAATTCGTAAGTGGTGTGGAAAGCGGCCCTTAGAGCACAAGCGGTAAGCATGCCACTACAAGTCCCATAGGCGAACCCTACAGGTAGTTTTCCCTGTTTTTTTAGAGAGATCCTAGCCTCATCATCATCAGATCCCTCTGGTTGCTTGCACTCAACGCTTTCACGGTTACCGAAACCGGCCGTCGTCTGGATTCGAACTCGTGTTGCGTTTACTAGCAGATGCGCCACAACTACAATTCAGCCACTTCGGCTGGGTGTCTGTGGAAGTCTTTCAGGAGGCGGGGATTGTCGGAATCGGCTGTGATTTGCAGAGTCAGAGTCTGTCTGTTTGCCGGGCGAGTCTAACCCCTGCCTGCTCTGGCCGGAATCGTGCTCAAGCTCGGGAGATTGTATAAGATGTTCCCGGCTATCCTTATGGTGTTTGGCACTTCCCTAAGATTGCGTGTGTACGGGCTCCCGCGTTCGCACAAGATGTGGAAGAGGGGGCGAGCGCGCGCGAGTGAAAGACGGATCTTTGGCGATTCTCCTTCAAGGCCATGGCGGTCTAACAATCGCAGCTCGAAAACGTGCTTTCTGCTGAGAGGGAGCGTCTCCTCTTTCAGCCGGTGAAGCACGCGGGCATTACAGGAATTTGGAGGATGAAAAAAAAAAAAGCTTGTATCCCGCCTCCCGCCTCGGAGGAAATGATCAAGCACGGAGCAAGGCGCCTTTCTTTTTCGCGTGGCGCTGCACGGTATCGGATGTGAAGATCGAGGATAGCGAAGGAGCAATGTAGAGCGGCTGACCAGGGGTTGGCCGCGGGTGTCTCCTCGTAACAGCGAGCCCAAAGCTCGCACGGGCGGGAACTCCGAAACGAGCTTAGCCGTAGTACTACAGTAGGCGGGAACTTCAACCAACTTTTGTTGTAGCGATCAGGCGGGAACGTTCAACAAATTCCTTCGTTACCTCTTTCTGCCGTCTGAAAAAAGAGCGGGAACTCCGATCGACTGCGTTCGACGGCGGGAACTTGAGCCAATTCCTTCGCCGCCTTATTTTCAAGTTCGACCGAAGGCAGCCCGAACGGCGAGTAGAAATTTCAACGAACGAATCTCTCCCCGCCAACACCACCTCTCGTGCGATGGACTCGGAAAGTGAGAGCCATCGCAAATGGCGGCGGACAGTGGGAAGGGATTGCACGCCGTCGACCGAGAGGCGACTGATACTTGGCGTTACTCGTTCATTGGGAGCACAACAAATGGAGGTGGCCCTTTGCACAAGGGAGTCTCGGGCCTCCTCCTCGTTGTCTGCCTTCAGTAGCGTTTCACCATTGGCCTTCTTCCTCCTGTACTTCATCGCAGCAATCGCCTTCTCCACGGTGGCAGGATCGACCAATGTGGCAAATGAGCTCGTTGGCGAAGACTTCAACCTGGCGGAAGTTGTTCCGAGACTCATCGGCGGACCTTGGCAACCTAGGAGCGTTAGGGAATCAAGTAAGGACACTCAGCCCCCTCCCTTCACACACAATGAGACTACGCGATTACTACCTTCCTCTGTCTGCCTTCATTTTCTCCCTCCTGCATTCACCTCCCTGTCTCCCTGTCTCCCTGTCTCCCTGTCTCTCCGTCTTTCACTCTTTCACTCTTTTTCCTGCGACTCATCTGCTCACACCTCGATCTAAGTGTTTCCACTTTCTCTGAAATTGCTACGCCCGCTTTGTGGTCCAAAGCGCGACTCATGGTTGCATGGGGATGGATCACCTGCGACCACGTGGCTGATCGGGCATACGAATTGAATCATATAAACGCAGTGGATGATGGAGATGTGTCCAAAAGTTTCGGGGGGGGGGGGGGGGGGGGGGGGGGCGGCGGGTCGAGCTAATGGATTGGGGAAATTTGATGGGATGCATAATGGTGTGGAAGGGAGTCCGGGGGGATGGAGGAATGGTGTCACACATAGGACCTCGCTGTAGTACTCACCACATGTGTAAAGCGTCGAGTGTGTCTTTCGGTAGAAGGTGGAAATATACGAATACAGTCCGCAGTTTTTATCGTTTTCGAACTTGGTGAGTGGTGAGCGAGGGCCATATGCAGTGAAATGGTCGCGGATCGGCAGATCATGTTCTTTTTCCGAGAGTCTGACGCTCTCGCTGTTCATATCCATAGCAAGAAATGTTTCTTGTCGAACTGGAATGGCCGTTGCACCTTCATATAAAGCGGCCAGATGCATCCGCCACTATGGGTGATGAAAAGAAAGTGAGACGCACGCGACTGGCATCAAACAAGTTATGGCGTGTCTTAGAGAGCTGCTGCTTGCTGAAAAAAAGAAAAAAAGAAAAAAAAAAAGAGCTGCTGCGTGCTAATAATGTCTCTCAGCTCGTTTTGACCGCGATTATGGCTCGATTCAGTCGTGAAAGTCCCTCGTTTTGAGTACGCCCTTAGTTGGATTACCCAGGTGTCCACGTCAGGACATTGAGTGGTCTTTCTTTTCTCTTTTTTGATACTTTTGAGTTCTTTTGCTCTTTCATTTTCGCCAGATGTGCGGTCTAACGACTGTACTTGAGCAGGATCTGCTCTGCTCTGTAGGTTGTACACTTTTCTGTATCTATACATGGCAGCTGAGACTCCCACCCTAGAGCGCGACCGCTAGGTAGCCGAGGATTACTCCAAAAAAAAAAAGAGGAAGGAAAAAAAAAAAGAAAAAAAAAAGATGTGCGGTCTGTCTATGTAACGTGCCGCATATGTTTATGACTGTACCAACTGGTCTGACGGACGGCCCAGTGTTTTCCCTTTTTTTTTTTTTTTTTTTTTTTGGGGGCAGTCGAACATCTCCTGGTTTGTGCGGGTGGTGAGTTTTGTCCTTTGTTTGGGCAAAAATGGAGGAAGCAAAATCCGACATCACCGTTTAGTGATCTGGAAAATTGTTTCTTGAACTTGGAAGAAGGAAGTGTCTTTCGCTCATGGTGAGCAACAAATGAATAGTGAGACTAGTATAATTTACAGTTTTTTTTTTTTTTTTGGGTTGGTTGAAATTTGGACCATTTCTCGATTTTTCACTTTTCTTTCTTTCTCCTTTTTCTCTCTTGTAAACTCTCTTTATGTCCGAGTCGTATCACTGTAATTGCTCTGCTGTGAAAGAAAATGGCGCAAACGTGCACCCACGACATCGAGAGAATACAAACTCCCATCGTGGCTTAAGGAGAAAGCGCTGCTGCAGCCATAAACAGCAAAGCTGACAATGAATAGACTCGGACATAAAGAGAGTTTACAAGAAAGAAAAAGGAGAAAGAAAGAAAAGTGAAAAAGACAATTACTGACACGCATATTAAATCGAGAAATGGTCCAAATTTCAACCAACCAAAGAAAAAAAAAAACTGTAAATTATACTAGTCTCACTTTTCGTTTGTTGCTCACCATGATCGAAAGGCACTTCCTTGGTTCAAGTTCAAGAAACAATTTTCCAGATCACTAAACGGTGATGTCGGATTTTGCTTCCGCCATTCTTGCCCCAAACAAAGGACAAAACTCACCACCCGCACAAACCGGGATTTTGTGACTAGATGTTCGACTGCCCCCCTCCCCCGCCCCCCCCCGCAAAAAAAAACAAAACAAAAAAAAAAAACGGAAAACACTGGGCCGTCCGCTCTGCTGTGAAAGAAAATGGTGCAAACGTGCTCCCACCGTGTTGCTCAAACATTTGTTCGGAATATATATTGTCACATTGTGAATCAGATGCCGTGTTACTCAAACGTGCTCCCACCGTGTTGCTCAAAACGGAAAACACTGGCCAGTCATTCAATTGGGCCATCGGCCCTTGGTGGTAAGGACGCCGCGTACGAGGGAAGCAAGACCCGCTCGTAATGTGTGAAGAATATCGCCAGTCCGCAAACAATCCTTCTATATACCTCTCTGGCCAGGTGAATGGTGTACACGAATCAATAGTAATCGAATGGTCACCGGTTCGACACCAGATCGTGCCTGCGGAACAGGCTGGCTTTCGCCCGAATAAGAAGAAAAGAAGCGCAAACTATTGAATGGTCAACCGATCAATACCTGACCATACGAGCGAGGTTTCTGGGCAAAGGACGGCGAAATGGAACCTTTGGTTGTAGTCGTCTCCTCACTTCGGCTTTCATCCTTGGTCCTCTTCCTCCGCCATCTTTCTCTCTTTTCCGCCAGGTCCTTTCCTCTCATTCTTTCTCGACCCTCTCTCTCACTTCGGCTTTCATTATCTGTCCTCTGGCACTCTCTCTCTTTCTCTCTCCGCGCAGGTCTCTGCCCCCGCCCCCGCCCCCGCCCTTCCCTCCCCTCTCTCTCCATCTGTCCCCCGGTCTCCCCTCTTCTCTCTCTCTCTCTCCCTCCTTTGAATCCCCTTTCTCTCTTTCCCGGCCTCTCTCCTCCTGTCATTCTTTTTCTTCACTCAACCCTCTGACTCCCCCCACAAACCTGTTGCTCTTTGCCCCAGGTTCGTCAGACCTCGACTTCGATTACTCTTTCGCACGCTTTCGTCTTCTCGCTCCATGCCTTTTCCTTACTTTCTGGCCTTTCTTCTTTTTGTCTTCCTCCCTCCTCCACCCAAGGATAGTTTTCTCGCAATTGCTGCCTCCCTTTTCCTTCACAGCCTCGCTGTCCCTGTCTTATCTGCCTGGAAGTGCTTTTGCTATTTCAAATGGGGGCTCAACAGGTGGATCCATTGATCCACGTGTTCAGATCTGCACGCTCTGTTTCAATCAGCCAGCAAATTAGTTGCCTTCAATCGCTTCTTGATCTACCGATCTGACTGCGCGGCGATTCTTTTTCTGTCCTGTTACTTGTTTCCCGCAAGACTCGCATGACATTTTTCTTCCCCTTTCGTTCTTTTCTTGTTTGGTAGTTCGACTACGCATGACATGTTCCCTGCGTTCGAGCACTTGCTCATTATCTGCGCAGAGCGCAGAGAGCATTTTTTGCATTTATCCCCGATCTTTCTTCGGCATTTCGTTTCCGTTTTGCTGCCGCTTGTTGGGATTCGATCCCTTGACCGGCTGCGACGATGCCGCCGCCTCGTTTGGCGTGGGAATCTACGGGGTTATCGCCACGAAACATCTATTCGTTGGGCTTACTGTTTCCTTCGTCTCTCTCCTCCCCGGGTTCCCCTTTTCTTACCGCTTCGCTTCTCTCCCCTGGCACTCCACCCACTTCCTCCATCTCCTCCGCTCTGCTTCTCTTCTACCCCTCCGCTGCCCTATCGCTTCCCCTTTGCTTCTCTCCGTCCCTCTCCCCGTTTCTCCTCCACTCTTGTAGTCTCCCTTCGCCCTCCGTTACCCTATCTCCTTCCCTCCAC